GATGCCGCACCGACCTGCACATCTTTAAACGGGGTTCTGTGACGGTTGTCTGGTATCGAGATGAAGTCCTAGAACCCATTGTGAGATTGTACACTGCAGCAGTTGGCCCTACTTTTGCTTTAATGGACGATAACGCACGTCCCCATAGAGCTGACATCATCGATCACTTCCTGGAGAGTGAAAGGATTGCGCGTATGGCGTGGCTAGCATATTCGCCTGACCTTAATCCCATTGAAAATCTTTGGGATGCTCTCGGCCGTGCTGTATCTTCACGTTTCCCACCTCCAGCCACTCTTATTGAGCTGGGAACTGCTCTACAAGAATAATGGCGATTGGTTAATTCCGCGGTGGTTGACCACCTAATTGAAAGCATGGTCAGAAGGTGTAAACTTTGCATACAGATGAGGGGAGATCACATACCCTATTAATGTCCTTTTTTTCCATTTTATGCTGTTTATTTTCACTTTATACATAATTCTGTTTAAGTCTCCAGTATGACATTATCTGATAACTTACAAAAATTTAATATTATTTTCATTTCAGTATATAATTATTGATTTTGTTTTATGTATAAATATATGTGCTACTTTACTGCCAAATTTTGTGTCAATCAAAGTAGTATTTGTTGATTTTTTACATTTTACATCTTCGTGCTTAACTTTCGGAAGTGAGTGTAGATGCTGATTGAGGAATGGGCACCCCTTACCTCAAGAACTGTCGGACAATTTGGTGCTGAGTTTTGAGAATTGGTGTTAAGCAGCCATTGCAGTAAGGGGAGAGCATATTTCGTACTAAGGAACATCTGTTTGTTGTTCTTCCTCTTAGACAGGCAATCATGTTTAGCAATACTATGAGTTCAATAAAGGCTTTTTTTTCTTTGATTCCGAACTATATGCATTGTATTCATTTTTGCGCAACTGTGATTTCTTCATCGCTTAAGTGCAAAATGCTGTCTCCCATTTTTTAATTTCATGTCTCTCAGATGATTTCTCGGGGAGTTAGTTAAGGCAAAAAAAAAAAAAAAAAACCGGCATAAGTTTTGCACACCAGTGTATAAATTAAAAAAGCTTGCATTTTTCTTTTTCGTTTCATTAATTGTGAAACAATATTAATGTCAAGAAATGTTGAAATTATTAAAATAATTCTA